TATTTAATATATAAAAAATATATAATATCTACTATAAATCTACAAATCTTAATTTTATTTTAAATATTATATTAATCTAAGAAGCATTTCTTTTATCTATTAATTTTACAATTAAACAATTATAAAGTTAAAACAGCCAGGGCCAAACATTTATCGTATATATACAATATACGATATTAACTGTTTGGACTACCAATGAGGTCAAGGACAGTCATGATTTATAAAATAATATTTTTTGTAACATATGTGTAATACATATTATATATAGAGAAAAACTAAAAATACACTTATAAAAATTTGAATGTTCATTTGAAAAGGTACATGAACCTTAACAGAAATAACCTAACGCAACCTCGGGTCAATATCGCAATGGATCCTTGAAGAACCTAGTGTTTTTGATTTGGATAGTAGCGAACGCGACGCTTTTCAGGCAAAAGGTTAGTAGAGAAGCGCCGGATTGATTTTCTCTGGCTAGCGTATATTGTGACGTGACAGAATGATATTATCCGTTCTGAACAACGTACTGTTCTTTACGATTGAACTATACTGAAGATATTTTCATTATGGAACTGCGATGAGTTTCTTTTGATTGATACATTTTTCAAATTAATTAAAACAGATTAAGAAATATGAAAAATATATACATACGAGAATAATAAAGTCTTTATTTAAATCGTCGAATGTTTGAGAAATAAACAGAACAAATCTACATAGCAAGGAAAGAAGGCTTTGAATTTCCGACACATGGAGAAGTCTGACAACGCTGCATGATTTTTCGCAATGTTGCCACAATCTCGTGACGTCACAAGACATACGACTCTCGAACGAGCACGTAAAACAGCTCGCCGGTAAAACCAAACTTACGCTCGGAAAAGTACAACGCTCTCTTTGTTACTTGATAGAAATAATCGGAGATTATATCTAACCACTTTATTTACACTTATTGTTAGTGAAATGTAAAAATTACATCTTTTATGCTTTGCTTTTATATTCACTTCGATAAAGGACTAAATTTGAGAAAAATCTTTGCGAATAATATTATAATTCAACCGATAAAATTTTTAGGTAATATGCTTTTCAAATCAAGATTCGTTAAAATTTTTAATAAATATATATAAATATATATAAATATATATAAATTATTCTTTAAATATTCATTGTTTAGTGTAAATTTCTTTAATGTATTTTATTATTATACAATTATTTTTAATTGTAATTTAATTTTTTAATGTTTTTTAGCGAAATTTAAAATCAAAATAAAAAAATAAAAAAAAATAGTAGATATAGATTATTAAGATTATTATTGCTGCAAAGTGTTGATGATTTGCAATGATTTTTATGATTTCTTGCGCAAGAAAAAAATAAATTATCTTGTTTTTTTGTACGCTACCAATAGCGTAACAAAACATTTTGTTTAAGAATCTTTAAATTCTGTTATATAATGGTTCAACAGTGATAATTATACATATAATCTTATAACATATACTTACCAAATGTGTTCGGATATATATTTAAGTTATTAAATATTAATATTTAAAAAATTATAATTCTTCGCGTATTGATTCTCGTTTGCATTGGTTGGTTCTTCTATCATCAATGATAATCTAGTAAATGATATCAAATTTTTTGCAAGATTGTAAACATAAGATTCTCTCACGTGACCAGATTCGTTTGAAAAAAATCTTCCGTTCAAAGTAGATCGTTATCGAGTATATGTAGATAATACGAAATCTAATGAAGTGAAGTTTTTATATATTTTATATTATATATTTTTCGAATGTTTATCTTTTTATATATACATAAATATATGTCTATATGAATAAAAGATTTTATTTTGTAAATTATCGCATATATTCTTCGATAAACTTATATATTAATATATTATGTATAACATACATGAAATATACAATTTTAATATAATTGCATTTAATTGTAGTCGTGATTGTAGTAATGCAGACAAATTAGAAATTAAAGTATATTAAAGAAGGTGTCATCGAGCCAGACGTGTCTACCGCGTGTCTCGACGAAGCGGAAATAATTTTGTAGCGCGTCGCGCTAGATAAAGTCGCCCTATCAAACGCCCCTATGAAATATGGTAGCCTAGTGTAGCTGGTACTTGTCACTATTAAATACATGATTTTTTTATAAGTGTCCATTTCATTAATATGTAGCGTACTCTGTAAAATTGTCGCGTGAATACACACAGAAAAGTAATTATGTAGATCCTTTGCTGACACAGAATATGAAAGAATTAATGGGTAAAATTGAATTGTATTATCGAATCTAGTAACAAAGTTATCAATCTTTAATTATAATTAAATGAATTTGATATATTCTGTAAATTTAATTGAATTAAATTTTCTTGCATTGCAATTATCTTACATGTATCAAAATCAAAAATTAAAAACGAATTGTATTAAAATTACCAATTGACAAAATTTTTGATTTGTATATGTATTTATATTCAAACAATTTTTTTTATTGATATAAATTATAAAAAATAAAAATTAATTAAGATTTTCGATAATGGTAATGATATATATGTTTTTTAAATGCAATTTTTGGAAATCGATTGATAAAAATGTATTAAAAAATTAATTTGAAATATATATTGTGGGATACTGATTTTTATTGACTGAAATAGAATGATGTTTTTTTTTTTTTTATTTTATAAAGCAATAAAGCAAATTGTAATAGTAGAATTACAAAACTATGTAATCATTTATTTTTTCTTACTTTTCGTAGTATGTATGTATGTATACATTAAAATTTTTTGTTTTTCTATATTATATCTAAGATTCATGTTAAATCATATTAAAATTTGATGTCAGAATGATATCATTCCTTTATAGATTCAATATGCATTGGACAGGAATTCTTAAAATGCATATGCATATTATAATACTCCTAGAATGATTAATAAAATTATCTTCGTTCTTTTTTGAGTTTAGTAAAAAAAAGTATATATATATATATATATA